ACACACACACACACACACACACACGCCCTTTCACTTCTCTCAGCCTCCCCCCTCCCTCTTTAAGCCATTTTTCCCAAGGGACACAGATTTAAGTACCGTCATGTAAAATGAAAAAGATCCTGCCATCAGCACACTCTAATCTACTACACCTGACGATAGATATCTATTGATGGATGCAGTAAGTAAAATATTGATGTGCTTGGCCATGGGACAAAGTAAAATTGATCCGTTTACACAGTCTACTTTATTTTCCCTTTTTTAAAACCAAAACTGTTTAACTTTGCTGCTAAAGGCCGAGTCTTACAGTCTGTCGTATGTTCGTTCCCCCTATAATATGTTGACTCGAGCGTGTGTCATCCATTGTAGGCTACAATGTTGTGAGGGATGTTTATTTTATGCTCAAACTCAAACACTGTACCGATGATTTCACTTCTCACCTGCTGTTCGAAAGCTTCAATAAACTCACTACGTGGGCTGAGAGCCAGAGGTGACCACACCATGTCCATTTGGTCAAAAAGCCCCCCAATAAAAAAACCCAGCTTAATAAAGAATGGAGGCATTCGAGCGATATTGCATCACGTCTGTAAATATCAAGGCAATCGGCACAGTAGTTTTGTCACAATTGCATTTAACGATATATGTATTACTATGTCCACGGGTGCCTAATAAACCTTTCCCTTTTTTTACCTCTAAACTAGGAACGTGGACATAGTCTCCTCTAGCACTCGCCAACTAGCCATATTTTGATGCTAGGGGGTGGGGGATATAATTTTGAATAGAACTGTGAATACTATAGGATACCAATTGCATGTATTTATTTGAGAAATAAGAATGAAACTTCATTACACAGATACAAATATTTGCTGTATCACATTCTAGCTCTGGCCAAATCAGCGTTTAAAGTAGGGCTGGGCAATGAGTCGCTTTAGCAAAATCCGGATAATATGTTAGTGCACCTCTTCGGCAAATATTATGACATGAACCGCTTTAGCAAATGGGTTAGAACCACTTCGACAAACGGGTTAGCACTACTTCAGCAAATGGGTGCACCCACTTAGACAAACGGGTCAGGAAAGAGAGTTAAAGAGTCTGAATTCGGATAATGTCTTATTGAGGATTATCCTATTATCCGGATATTTATCCGGATTTTGCCCACCTCTAGTTTAAAGCTGAGGTAATGGTATTGAATAAAACGGTGAGATCAGCGTGCAATAGAAGGAATTCCCAGTGTGAGTTGATGGGACGAACATCAATAAAAGGATACGAGACTTCTGTCTGTCTTAGTAGTTAGAAATTTTTTTAACAACACGACATTG